TTTCACTGCATTGCGGATACCTAGCAAGACGAGTGGAAGAGCATCTGTCCACTGTGAAACGTTTGAAGCTGATAATGAAGCTTTAAGTTGTCGATGAAAACGTTCTACCAACCCGTTTGCTTGTGGGTGGTAGGCGGTCGTTCGGAAGCTCGTGATTCCTAATAGTGGGGTCAGACAACGGAAAAGTCCAGATTCGAACTGGCGTCCGCGGTCTGTAGTGATTGTGGAAGGGCAGCCGAAATTTGCTACCCATCGTTCGACGAAAGCACGGGCCACGGTTTCAGCAGTAATGTCCTTAATCGGTACTGCTTCTGGCCATCGAGTGAAACGGTCTACGCATGTTAGGAGATATGAGTATCCGTTCGAGTCGGGTAAGGGTCCTACTAAATCTAGATAGACGTGGTCGAAACGATAGTCAGGGGTTTTGAAAGAGCCTAAGGGACATTTGTTGTGTCTTATGACCTTAGATTTCTGACAGCTTACACAGGAGCGTGCCCACTCCCTCACGTCTTTACTCATGCCAGGCCAACAAAAGCGTTCGGCTATAAGTTCGATTGTTGCACGAGCACCTGGATGAGAAAGATTGTGCAACGTATTGAAGACGTTGCGTGGATAATGTTTTGGTCCAATTGGACGATCCCTACCTGTAGATGTGTCACAGAGTAAGGTTTCCTTACCTGTTACCATCTGCTTAATACTTAGTTTAAGAGTTGTCGAGGATAACTCATGCTGAAGATCAATGTCTTCTTTTTGAAGCTGAGCGAATTTAAGAAGGTCGATTCCTTGGAAACTGTTCAAGGAATTTATTCGAGACAAGGCGTCTGCGACTACATTGTTAGCTCCAGAAATATGTTGTATGTCTGAAGTAAACTGCGAAATGTAGTCGAGTTGTCGAGACTCGCGGTGAGTACTTGTCTGAAGATGAAGTTAAAGAGAAGGTAAGAGGTTTGTGATCGGTAAAAAGTGTGAATTCTCTTTCTTCGATGGAATGTTGGAGATGCCGTACAGCACAATACATAGCTAGGAGTTCCCTACCGAACGTGCTGTACCCAGATTCCGCGTCTAGCAACCGTCTCGAGAAAAATCCTAAAGGTTGCCATGAGTTGTTAACCCATTGTTGTAAGACTGCTCCGATTGCTGAGTCGGATGCGTCTACGGCGATACTAATGGGCGCTTGAGTGTCCTGATGAGCAAGCAGGGTTGCCTTAGAGATGTGTTTCTTAACTGTGGAGAATGCTGTCGTCTATACTAATTGATTTTGCATTTCCACGAAGTTGGTCGGTTAACGGTTTTATAAGGGATGCGCATTTGGGTATGAACCGTCTGTAGAAACTTGCAAGGCCGTTGTTAGTTCGCAATTGCTTGATCGTGGTCGTTTCTGGGTAATCCAGAATGGCCGCCACTTTGCTTCTAAGGGGTCGGATGCCTTGAGCATCAATAGTGTGTCCTAAGAAGTCTAAGGAGTTGGTTCCGATTTGGCATTTCTGAATGTTTACAGTAATGCCATGCCTTTAGAGTCGATCGAAAACAATGTCCAGATGCTTGAGATGCGATTCTCTGACCGGACTTGCTATGAGACAGTCATCAACATACGCATGTACGAAGTTGAGACCTCGGAAGATGTCGTCTATAAACCTTTGGAAGGGTTGAGCCGCATTCCTGGGGCCGAAAAGCATTCATAGAAATTCGTAGAGGCCGAAAGAGGTTATAATGGCGGTTTTAGGAATGTCGTCGGTTGCCATTGGTATTTGGTTATAAGCCTTAACTAAGTCGATTTTCGAGAAGACAGTTGTACCTTTCAAGGTAGCTGTCAAATCGTGAGTGTGAGGCAACGGGTAACGATCGGGAATGGTTTTAACATACAGACGCCGATAATCACCAGTTAGCCGCCAATCGTTGCTGTCCTTTTTAGGGACCATGTGCAATGGGGATGATCATGGACTATTTAATGGTCGAATTATCCCTGTCTATCATATGGTCGAATTCGTTTTTGGCTAACCTAAGCTTTTCCGGAGCGAGTAGGCGGGCTTTCGAGAATACAGGCGGTCCTGTTGTCGAGATGTGATGTATAATATTGCTGGTTACACAAGGCAATTTCGATTGCGGTTGGTATATCCCGGAGTATTTGTCGAGTAATGATTGATACAGGGGGTCTATGGTGTGCTTAATTGTGACTGGGGATAACTTGCAACCAGAAAAGGGAGTTACGCAAACTGATAATTTAGTGTTTCCGTCTATTAACTTTCTTGAGCGAGTGTCGATTAGTAGATTGTGGTATTGTAACAAGTCTATACCAATGATTGACATAGAGACGTCTGCAACAACGAAAATCCAGTATATGGGTTTGCGTAAACCTACGTAAAGGTAGACGTACCTTTTACCGTACGTCTCTCGACCACGAGAGACAGATCACTTACATGAAACGCTCCTACGTGGGGATTTTGACCGACTACGGTCATTATGAAATTGAAGGTAGCGTGTCAGTGTTTGACATAGTTCGGTTATGTCATTCGGGGTCGTTTGAGGTTTTTCTTTCACTGAAAAGACCTCGATATTAGTAAATTTTGTGATTTCTAAGATGCAGTCGGCAGATGCAGCCAGCTCGTCTACGGCGTTGTTGTGAAGTGAGGCGAGAACTGCTTGCACCTGTTGAGGAAGTTTAGACAAGAAAAGTTGTCTGAATAGGCCATCATTGAAAGTTCGTTGTCCGATAACCTCTCTCAATCTTAGCAACATGTCTGTTGCATAACCATGTTGCAGGTCGATATTGTTAACGAGTTGGTCTAACCGTTGTCGATCACTTAGGTCTCCGCGTTTTAAAATCGACCGTTTGAGAGTTTCGTAAGGTTCCGGAACATCACTAGTAAACATACTAGGTGTTACGTACCTGTTAAATTCGCGCGGTAACGCCTTAACTACCGCGAGGAATCGTGTACGCGAGTCCGTGATTCCGTGCATGCAAAAATCAGCTTCTGCGCAGCAGAACCAGGACTCGATATTGTCAGGCCAAAATGGCGTCAACTGAATCGAAGTTTGGGGAATAGATTTTAACTCAAAAACCTTAGGTGACCGTTCCGTCATAGTACTATAAAGAACGAAAAGTCTAATTAAAATATGTCCGGGAAAAAAATTCGCGAAAAAACAGTATATCACAATATATAAAATTAAAATAAAGAATAATAATGAATAATAATATTCCAAAACGGAACAGACTCACAGCTTATTGGCTTGGTGTACCAGATCACGTAAGGCTCACCACTGAGGATACGACTAGTATTCTAACTTTACAATTAGCTACCAGTAGCATCTTCTATAATCGAAATTTTCTTGGCCAAATAGAAATCAGAAGTCAGACGAGAAGAGGTAGTAAATATATATGTGATACGTTATCAATATATCGAGGAACGTTTATTCTAAGCTGACTAGTGAACGTAGGAGCAGTGTCCCACGCCGAGTTGAAACGTGATCTGGTACGGATGCATGACCAAAAGCCTTCAGTAAAACAAGTTCACTTAAACAACGTGGTCAGCATACAATGTTGAACACTTAATGAGCTATTGATTTCGGGGAATTATTTACAGCTACACCCTTCATTGGTATGTTTTCAGTCTTTTCAGTCGACAAGCGTGATTCCAAGTGATCTTGGGGTGTCCGATTTTAAGTATCATTTGTAGAACAAACTGATTTGTAACATGAAAAGTCGTATGCAATAGGAAATTTTATTAAAATGCTAGGTTATCCACACGTTTTTCATTGTTTAGTTAAAGTTTTAGTTTGTTTATGATGGACGGGAAGCTAAGTAGTCTGTATTAGTCTTGGCAGTGTTGGTCGCTCAATTGATCCGAATTTCTTTTGAAAGACTTGAGTTTCAATCACATGTGATAATAAATTCCATTCGTTGATGATTGAATGAGAAAGTGGATAGTCAGATGACAAGTAATTTGTCTTGGGCCTGTGAACATTTTTTGAGTGTCCTCGTAAAGTCTCTGTTTTGGAAGACAAGAGAAATGAAGGCATATCAAGTGGATCAGATCAGTAAACGAGCGATATCAAACACCTTTAGACACTTTGTCCCTCAGTTAATGGATGAGTGCTGCATATAATAGTGTAAGTTCCGCTTAGGATTTCATTTAAATCATTTAAGCTACGGCCACGTCTTTTATGAAAATTTCATCAACTCCCATTCTAAATTTCCACGTGTGGAAAGCAAAGTGGAGATCAAGTCTCGAAATGAAATCCTCAATGAAAAATACGTTCTTGGATGCAACTCTCACTCAGAAAATGACCGGAAAATTACCCGAAGATGCTTAATGTCACATATATATTGTTTATGAAAATGATGACTTCTCCCCATTGTACACCTGCTGGAACACTTCAACATTTGAACTTCGAACGTCTGTTGTCTCTAGAGCATTATAACTCAGATCTATAAAACTGTAAACCTTGGAAGATGAGATTATTTTTTTATTGTGGGAGTCAGTATCTAAAGGTTATCAATTAAGGATTTCTCATTGGCAAAAATGCAGTCCGAATGTGGCGGTTTCTTACCGTCTCTTGATAGGATCCGATACTTCATATTTCCAAATAGTTTTAGCCTCTCAACACGGTAAAAAACGAGGCTTAGTAGAACTATCCTCTCCACTGTGTGAGTTATCTCTAGAATTGCCGAAGTCTAATAAGATCACGATTTAAATATGTCCTAGACCAAATAAGTGGGCTAGTCCTTCCATCATTTGGTTTTTGTGCCAAAAATCAGCGATAAGCCTGATACATATCACTCCAATCAGACAACTTGTGTCCGTAGATAAGCTCACTGAGGGTCGCACAGATTCATCGAGATCTAAAACCACATGAGAGTATTCCTGACAGATCTTCTGTTATATACCCGGTGCGGATGAATAAAAATATAAAAAAAACATCCTTTATAAGGCCAACATGCATACGTGCCTTCTGTTAATGGGCTAAAAGCTAAAATATGGAGGGCTTTCCGGTTCAGTGGTCTTTGAATCACACATCCTTCATGTTCTCATTAGCCTTCAAGTGTGATCCTGAGTTACAATTAATTTTTGCATTGAGTCATGCTTTTTTAGATATCCATGCCTCTGGCCGAATTAATAAGGGATCTTCTACTGTTAGAAACTACATCGAAACGCTTAATTACTCCAGTCATTTTAAAAATGCATGCATTTCATGACAATTTACAAGAGAATGAACTTACCATCGCACTCTACTAATTTTCTTCAATTATCTAGACATTACAAGACGTTAGTTAGTATTTGGTATACACTGGTAACAATTGTTCGACTATTGTTAACTTTTAGGTCGTATGAAGCGCAATACTCAATGTAGATTTTAGTTGGCTGTGCATGAAGGCATTCGCAAAGGTTTGAGAGTTACGTTCCGCTAATTTCTACTACAGAAAAGGGCTCCCGATGCCTCAGATAACGGACCTGAACCTAGTAAGTTTTATCCTGTTGTTTATTAATGGAAATATATCATGGTTTCTCCCTGTGACAAACCCTTATTTCTAAGTTCTTTGTTTGTTGTCAAGTGAATAAAACCTTTTTATTCAATAAAGCATCCATAGATAAAGTGAGGAGCTTCTTCTCAAAGTTTGGCAGTGGTTTGCGTACTGCTTTCGTCAAACCACAACATCCTAGTGTGCCAGTTACTAGTCGTGACGTTAACAATTTCTGTTATTCTTCTGATGAACTGACAACAAGCAAAGAAGTTTTTTCGGCCTCAAACGAGACAGTTGATACTCTTCATCCTTTAAGGTATGTTTAAATTTTAACTGAGGTTCTGAAGGTATGTTGGCTTCGACCTACTTTCTAATTTGGTCAAATGTTTGGTTTAGAGGTGGTAAAATTTACGAAACGTTTCCTATCTACTTCGTTACCGACCGTATATATTAGTTGCTTTGTTGTCTGGTGGATTGTTGGATCTATTTCCCTGTAACTGGTCTGAGATCTATTTAGTATTGGGTGGCACATTGACTATTCGTGTTTATATGTAGCTACTATGTAATAGTTCACCTTTTTCCTTAGCTAAAGCTACCATATTTATGTGAAAAACATATTCGAGTGTAAACTTATCTTTATACACTAGTGAGTTTTTATCTTTGTACATCTTTGGTGAGGCGAATCCTTGTTGCCCTCCTTACGGCTGTCGAGGTCAGTTATGTATATTTAATTGCTATTTTACTCATGTTCCATGTCCATATTTATATGCAGGTCTAAGTTTTTATGTTGTTGCTCTCTGCAAAGTCCTGGAGTATCGTAGTTTTTCATTAAAGTCACCACTATTTTTTTTCGAGTTCACTCAAAGTCTACCATACTTTTCAAGCAACCAGATATATCAGCGACAGTGATCTCTTTTGTTTCACTTCCTGATGGGTGTCTTACTTGGTATAGCAACACTGCTGCTATGTCCATCCATTTCATACAAATGAAAAATAAATAAATCCTTACATTCTTTGTATCGATTAACTTGCAGTTGTTTAGTCACACTGCATTCACATGCTCTCATTGTCAGATATAAATAACGTGTCCTGTAAAATATCGTAATGATAACACTAACCAGGTTCAATCCTGAGATTGTAATATCGTCCACTGCAAATTTGTTAGGTTCTGTACTAAATTACCCAACTGTTTTAGTCTACCCACTGGGACCCATCATTCAGATAGCTATTTAAAAAGTTTGTGGGATATGTTGCTTTTTCTTCAAGTTCTATATACCGAACTCCTGAAGAGGTTAGCTTGAGTAGTTGTCAAACATTGGCTACGGTAGGAGTATTACTGAAATAGGAATGACATGGAGTATATACCTCGCAGTTATAAAATATAGCATTTAAACCGAAGCATTATGGTTAAACCTAGTCATATTTCCTCTTGTTTATCACAAGTGCCATTCAGTGAAGCGTTCAGTAAAGTTTTCAACGCGACTTGTTATTTATGAAAACATCACTGATATCTTACAAACACAGTAATATTTATTTGGGTGCGTAGTCTACAGTTAAGTTCTATATAGTACAGTAACCATGAAAAACAGATTTAGTTGCAAAAATCATTAACTCAAATGATATTTATATATTTCACTGACTATAACTAATGTATTTTATAGCTCTTTGTACCGACTATTCAGTTTAATAATCTTAGTGAAGTAAGATATAGTTCAATCGAGAGCGAATTTAATACACGTATGGACCTCAATACATGGCTAGCTACCCGTGGTTACACTTAGGTCTGATTGTTTATAACCATAGAAACTTACAATCTATTAACACAAGGTAACTAAATCTTGCTAACTTGTTGTATGCACTCATAAACTTTGGTTCTTCTTAATCAGCATTTTATTATTCTGGTCTGTTCATAATGTAAAATATCTCATTACTAAGAAGTTTTAGCACGTCATTATTTTTATATCCTTTTAGAACTGACCACCCAACTGTAAGAGAGTTTTGTTGCCCTTTAGATCATAGAATCCCCTAATATAATACTGGATGGCTTGTTAAATTATTTAATATGTATTCAATCCAAGCAGCTTATTCTTTTATGGTTAAAGCTTCTAACTTACAATCACTTATTAACGCATTGAAATGCCAATTTTGTCACATTTTTTCGGAAAGCTAGAAGTGGTTTAAGTTCATGTATAAAAACTCGTACTTGGTTACATAGTCACATTAAGTTTGGGCACCCGGGCAGTATTCCAGTCCTCACACAAATCGAATGATCTATGTGGCTCATATCTATTTGGTGCATTCTTGTACCAATGTTTATGTGTCTAAATAAATAAATCCAAACCATGTATCGATAATTTTTCTATATGACGTATCAGGACATTTCGTGTTTCATGGTTTATTTTTGAACAGGATTCTTTACTATCCCATCAAGCACTTGTTAACAGCTTTTTTATTTGTTTATTTATTGTCTCTTGTCATTTATATCTATTGCTACTACTTACTAACGGAATGAGATAGCCGTAAATCTTGTGTTACAGCGTAGTTTCGATTGCGTCAACTGAACACTGCATTTCAATATAACCTCTCAGTAAAGCTTTTGGTTAAGCGAAAAGGTGACTCCAATTTATTTCTCTTGTAATGGCACATATTCACTGGTGGCGTACAACGTAATTAAGTTAACATACATATTTTCACGGTTTTATTTAGCCTTTCCTGTTAACTATAACAGGAATTGTAGATACTGTTGTTTAGTTTCATCATTCTTAAAACGTTTGGTAACGGTATAGATCTGATGTTTATAAAAAGCATTTGGATACTGAATATATGGGTTGTCATTTTATTATTTGGTGGTGTAGGTTCCACTCAGACCTCAAATAATCATTTGGTAGTGATGGCTAATAAGTGTTGTTTTTCTTAATTTTTATTTAAACACAAACATTGGTACAAGAAGACACAATAGATATACGCCACATAAGTCATTCGATTTGTGCGAGGACTGGGATACTGCCCTACACTAATAAGTGTAGTATATTCTTCGCTTCACCGATATGTCAAGTATATTTTTTGGTCAATATAAACTTTTTGCCTTCGTTTACTCTAAATGGTTAGTTTTAGGGAACAACCAAGTTTGTGCATTTAGCAATCTTTGACACAGTTTATTGTTAAAGCACTCGTCTTTCGAGCCGTAGGTAGCGGGTTCGAATCTCTATCTGAGAACTAGATTATTTCTGGATTCGGGAGTATCTCGTAGTGTTAAAGCGATTGTCATCCTCATCTTTATTTTTCTCTTGGGTCAATCATGAATTAACTTGCAGAGTATGAATCTCCCAATTATACTTTAGGTACTGGTTTCCATCATACTCCACAGATTGCTCAAAACTCGTTGAGAAATGACTTTGGAGTACCAAGCTGGTTTTCATATAGATCTTGGATACATTGACCATGTATCAACCCCCCCCCACCAAATATCCGAAAACTAACGTAACTATTTCAGGCTAACAGTCATATTTTTCCTGACATCAGAACCATCTCGATTCGTCGTATAGAAATCTAATCGAACATTGTATGATAAAGAAAAATATCCTTAGGAACCTTGCTTACACCTTAAAGTTCTGTACAAAAACACCTAAAAGAGATTGATGGTATATAGCTGCTTCTTTGCTTTTCGAATTGCTTTTCTTGTCTTATTATACCGGACGTTTTTGGTGCTAGAAATGAATAAACCAAAAAAAACTAAATAATCTTTATATGTTGAAAACAATATCGGGACATTTTCCATCTAGGTCACCATCTATTTCGTGGAGACTCAAGTCTTGTCTCTTGTAATTCTAGTCTGCCTGAGCTAAGGGTTTCTGATTCCTGTCTTCGTAAAGTTATTCATATTCATGTGGTTAAATCATGCAAGTGACCGTAATATCACCTGTTATACAGCTAAGTATGAGACCTTTTCTAAAAAAAAGGGAGCGACTTGACATATGAGCTCTTATATTCTTACTACTCTTATACTGCTTATGCTCTTACTACTCCTACCACTATGGGATTTGAATTGACAACTTAATCTCTGTGCTGACTGACTGAACATACGAGCTATCATGAATTAGTTATATTTTACTTGTATGGTTTGAGTGGTTATCGTGTCGATTGTTGCCAGCATATGGTGACTAATTGAAAGAAATAGAGAGGCGGTGGCATAAAGAATAGTACTGCGTGAACACATGTGGTGGAACCTGAGTACCTGTATGATTTTCTTAAATTATCATAACTTTCTAACTTCTGGCCTCCAAATGCCCTGGTGCGGCCAAGGGTGGGGAAAGTCAACTCTCCTTCTCGAAATGGCCTCACATGACCACACGTAGACGGTCACTGCCAGGGAGGTCCTACTCACTACCTTCTCAGGGCATTACTGTTGTTTACGAAATTGAGAGGATGAAGGGCGAATGTCCGACGCTTTAACCGGTTTGGTGGACACGGAGAGTCCACCCTTGGAAGTTGGAAAACCCTTATTCCAAACCAATGGTGAACATGGGCTCTAGGATCCTGAAGTAACAAATGGCGTATGAACCAATCGTTGGTCACCAGCTACCATGGGACTGCATCTCGTGACATTCCTCCACTGCCTTGTGGACCAAACCTTTAGGTCGAAGGTTCCGGGTGTCTCCGTAAGGGAAGCTATTTGCTTCGGTCTGGGCATCTGAACAGTCTCACAGACCACATACAAACCAAGTGACTTGTGTGATTCATATGTATTCGGTGCCACTTTGTACCAATGTTTGTGTGTGTTCAAATAAATAAATAGATATAACTTCTTACCTGATTGGATGTCGTCAACAGTCCAATTCTGTATCGAACATATCGTACTTTTTTATCATTTTCCATTTGAACAGTTAAGAATAACAGTACAAACTCCGGAGTATATTTTACTTGACTGCTTTTATATCTCCTATTTATTTGTCATCCATTTCTTATTTATTTAGTTGTTTTCTTCATTGTTGTTATATTTTCATACCTAGTACATCTTTTGTATATACTGCACTGAGATTTCTCTGAAATAAATATATTAGTAATATTAAAGTGTAGTGTATCTATAACATTTGTATATTAACTTAGATCTTTTCTAAATAAAATACTGCGAAGACAAGTTGTAATCTATTTGTTCCTTGACGAGGCAGTATACTCACTATTGGTACATGTAATGCGTAAATTCCATTAGGTGGTATTTTTGTGGCTAGAGAATTTGGCTTTCAGTCGTAGAATCGCAAGTTTAAAGCCTACTGTACCTACTGAGGTTTGAGCTGACAAGTACCCGTCAAACTTCAGGTATAGCTTAAAGCTGAGTACATCAGTCTATGCTTAACTAGTTAGTTATCCCTTTGTGCCTAGTGACGTTATCAGGAATACAAAAATCAAAAGTAAATAGGTCACATAGAAAAGATAAAGCTCTGAGTACTAAGAAGTTAGAGTAATACTATATTAAAGATTCGAAAGAAAATAAAGAAAAAAATGCATTTGCACTTCTTTGGCGTTTTTCTTAAAAACTTTGTCGCGTTAAGTCTCTGTTCGTGTATAATAATTACTTCATGAACCTCAGTCAAGAAGTTTATACCTTCCACCACGTGTAAGACTAAGATTCAGTAACCTATAGACTGATGTTATCTTACATTCTTATTGGAAGAAAGAAAAAGGTTTAAAACGTTCTCCTAATGTAACTTATGTTGTTTGAGAGGCTGTATTTTTTCAGCGTCATAACGGGATATATTGTTTGCGCGTTTCGTGTTGATAAAAAGTTATCTAGTTAAGTAATAGACTCACTAGTAATCTAACGAGTAAATATTTACGTTGAGCTGTTTACCCGTTAAGTAGAACGGGAAAGCGGACATTTTTAGTGAGTACCGCTTGGCGCTGTCAACACAGACGGTCTGAAAGACACTATTCCAGTAAAGACTATTTTGTTGAGTTGTGTACCTCAATTACGAGCCTTTCAGCAATAAGCATGACCATAAGCTTTTTCAGTCGACAAAGCCCAGTGCCCCATTGAAGTCAAAATATTCATTTGGACGTCAGTAAGTGTGCTTATGTATTACAACTTAATGAAGGATAATAGTTTAATCAATATATCCTAAAACTGTTAAGTATTGAATATTTATCGGTTTAGGAATCTGATTTCTCTTTATCAAAGGGAGATGTTTTATTTACCGAGACCGGTGATAATAAAATGGAATTACTCTGAGCACTTAAACTTTAATGCCTTATTCTGTCAAACTAATGATCATGACCTCTAAAAACCTCTCAATTCAACCTGTCAGGCAGAATCTGTTGGTTTCCATTGTTTCAAGTTAGTTATAACCTTTCCAACTTTTCATTGTCAATCACCATACCAATGATGTTAATCATACAGGTTTGTAATAATCAATAGTTCCATAAAATGACTATGTTTAGTTCTAAACAAGTTAACTGCTAACTTACTCGTAATCAATTGCATTGTTTTTTCTATATTTGACTTGTATGTGTTCATATATTTTAAACAGTAATATGAAGTAAGTCATTTGTAGTTGATTATTCTAATTAAAATTTACGCTGTTCACTTTCGAATAGTTTTGTTTGCCACAAAAATACACTAGTAAAATTAACCATGTTCACTCTTATCTACAAATATTTGAAGTAAACATATATCTGGTGTGTGGCCACTTATTGATTATCCTATTGTGTGGTTATATAAACGGATTCAAATTATTTTCACCTTTGTTCTAACTAATATATGTGGTGTCTTTAAAATAATTTGTTTCGGTGTTTGATTTAAGTATTTGTGTGTGTTATATTCACTTAACAGGAATATAAATTTAGATAGAGTTCAAGTTTTCAATATCCATTTGAATCAGTTTATAAACTGTTTTCTAACAACATAGTATTTGTAGGAATTTTTCACAACTCAGTGGTTTATAGTCATCTACGAACTTCTTTTGCCTTTAAAAAAAAATTGTACTCAGGGTGATGTTTGTGATAAAAGAAACCCCAAATATACTTATTTATTATTTTTACTGGGCATCACTAACATTGGATCAGAGTTATGCTAAAATCTACATAATTTGATTCTGTTACACTAAGATGAATTTATCAGAATTCATCTATTTCATTTCTAAACAAGCAAAGCAGCTCTCTTATTTTCGGCCATCATAGCACATTTTCTATCCGCTTCCGTGGAATCAAGTTTGTGATAGGTGATTCACAGAAACCATGTCTTATAAACTGTTATCTAATTTACACATACAATAACGTGGTCATATTACTATAGTGACTTAAGACGTAACTCCAATAGTGCAGATCGGAAATTGATGAATTTTTTATAACTTACTGAAATAGGGAAATTTTCTTAACATGCAAGGAAATTCGTATATAACGCTTTATCAATATTATATCCAATTTTAAATATTATCATTTAGTTTGAACTTGTGCGTTTTTCTACACTCAAGTTCATTCCTGAAACCTATTTTAATTAAACAAACAATCTTATCACAAAACATTAAAATCATTACGTAATAAGAAGTATGTAAGTAAATAGATAGTGAGGAATACAAACGGAAAGAGGTAGAAAATTACAAACAAACAAAAAATGATAACCAAAATAAAAAATTTTACAAATAATAATAATGTCAATTATTAAGTTATGTCCGGCCATGGAAGGGATAGGGGGGTTACGAATTTCTTCTGTACACATAAATTGGGATGGAATGTACGAATCCCTATGGCTTCTGCTATATGAAGTAGACGGGAGCGAACTCCGTTGGGAAACGATGGAGGTATACGATAGATCACTTGAAATGATTTCAATTTATCGACAATATGACCACTATCAATTAGATGTGCCAAGATAGAACTGCGTATTGTTTTTATTTGGCCCTTTCCAAACCATGCTGACTGAGATCGGCTACCCTGCTGCGTTCATCAAAAAGTACATGTATGATACAAGGAAGAAATCAGAGATTTTAACTGTTCGTAAGAAGCCTCTATACATGAAATTACCATTCAACGGGGATGTAGCTAGTGAAACTCTGAAAGATAGGTTAACAAAAGTAATTAGTAGAACTTTCTACGCAGCCTATCTTGCATTGACTTTCTCGAGTCGACCAGTGATGTCTACTCAAACGAAGGATAAGTTACCTGAGTTGGCCTCCTCCATGTGCATTTATAAGTTCAGCTGCTCCTGTGGAGATAGCTATATCGGGCGTACTACTAGGCAACTTAACCAACGAATGAGTGAACATCTACCAGCATGGTTTGGAAAGGGCCAAATAAAAACAATACGCAGTTCTATCTTGGCACATCTAATTGATAGTGGTCATATTGTCGATAAATTGAAATCATTTCAAGTGATCTATCGTATACCTCCATCGTTTCCCAACGGAGTTCGCTCCCGTCTACTTCATATAGCAGAAGCCATAGGGATTCGTACATTCCATCCCAATTTATGTGTACAGAAGAAATTCGTAACCCCCCTATCCCTTCCATGGCCGGACATAACTTAATAATTGACATTATTATTATTTGTAAAAATTTTTATTTTGGTTATCATTTTTTGTTTGTTTGTAATTTTCTACCTCTTTCCGTTTGTATTCCTCACTATCTATTTACTTACATACTTCTTATTACGTAATGATTTTAATGTTTTGTGATTACTATTCCAAACAATCTTATGCCTATTTCTTCAGATGATCTAGATCATTTCGAATTATCGCTACGTTTAAAATTCAATCCCAACTTCTGTCAGGATTTACAGATTAATTTTTCTCCAACATTTATTTTATTTAAACATTACTGTTTACAAAGCTGTTGAAGGGAAACAGAAATGTGTTCAATGTTTAGAGTTTTCCCCACAGTTAGCTTAGTTAACTAGTGATTTCATTTTCCTTACCATCAAACTTTTATTCTTAATATAGTCATTGAGGTTTTATTTGTTTCAACCAATTCCCATAATTTGAATCAAATTAGATTCATCGTATGGATACTTCGATATTGATTTCGTTTCTTTGTTGTTGTTGCCTTTAAATACCATTCTACAAAACCGACCGGTCGTAGATAAAATGAATTATATATCATTGATTGTAGTTCAAACCTTTACTAAAAGTATTTTTATCATTCACACGTGTATTCAGTGGTCAGGAATATTGCTTTGGTTCCCAAAATATGGCATATATAACATTGCTTATATAGGTTACTTATACGTTATTTATTGCAATTCATATGCCTGATCGCAACACGCATGCTATTTTATATATATATATATATGTGTAGAATTTCTTTTTGAGTGGATATTTTCCATAACTCTATTGATTCGTCTTTAGTTGTTTTATTGTAATGATTATTTTTGTACTATTACAAATCTGTACGTATACCCACCTATTAGGACTTTAGTAACAGTCCAGATTTTGATTTAAAGTTTCATAAAAATCAAAGTATGCATTTAGTGGTTACACAAATAAGTGATTTACTTGATGGTTACGTCAACTTTTTGTTAATATACCCAATTTTTTATTAGGAGGAAATAATAATGTTAAATGTAAGATCTGTGAAATAAGTTGATTAATTTTTCTCTATTAAAAACATCCATAATAGCCGAGTTATTGCTGTTTGTAAATTACTTTTGAAGAGTCTGTCATACTTGTAAAATCAGTTCTTCAACCTGTTCTCTATCACTGTCGTTTAATAGTGCATGTTAAAACTTGATGAGTATGAAAAAATGAAATTCATATTGATTTCTACCAGGAATAACTTCATTGAAGTGATATTTACTTATCAATTTCCGTAAAAATGTATTTAGAAGTGACATCCTTTTCAATTCATTCTGATTTACTATATTTAAGTTCGTCGTTATTCTGTCTTAGGTGAGAATAATTCACTACATAACTATCCGCTTTCGCTTTTTCTCTTATGTCAACCTAATTCCATGTATCTAGGCAAAATCATTTCGTAACATTACTCATAAATATATGTAAATCTCAAAATTAAAATAGGTTACACTCGGCTATCTGAAGATTAAAAGCTAAATGGATGACGCGGTTGCGTTGAGTTTGAATCCCGGAGTGAACATCAACTATAGAATGGAGGTTCATCTAGCTGACGAGTCCCAAAAGGGACGAAACATGTCTCATGGATTCCACTGCTAGCCACCATCCATCTCTGTTTAGAAAAGTGCTTGTGACTTAATGGTAACATAGAGGTAATTCGCACAAGATGCACATATGCCAAAAGAGACTGATCAGCTGCACTCTTAAACATTGGGATACCATGGGACTGCATCTCCTCACGATGCTCCACTGCCTTGTGGAATAGGCCGTTAGGTCAAAGGCTCCGGGTGTGGCCCCCTAAGAAAACCACCTGCTTCAGTCTGGGCACCTGGGCAGTATGACATCCCTCACACAAATCGAATGAGATTTGTGAGGCGCATATTTATCTGGTGCTTCCTTGTACCAATATTTATGTGTTTAAATAACAATAATAATAAACATTGGGAAAATCCAAACAGCTAATACAAATATATTGAAATATTTGGTCTTGTTTAATAGCATTATCAATATCAACAATAAATAATTGCTTGCTGTTTGTTCTCATTTAGGAATTTATCTGACTAGAAAAAAACTAATAACGGAACACTATAGATGGTAGATTTCAATCTTGAAACTACTAGATCCTTTTTTTGAGATCATAAACTAAATCTCTAATTAGATTAAGAATATTCTAGTGCCTGAAGCTTCCTTTTCCTCCTTACCTGCATTTAAAACAACTGAGTATTACATACAAAATTCACCTTTTTTCTTTTGCACTTTCGTACATTAACCCATTGTCTCATTTTTCAATTGAGTATTATCATTATTGCTTTCATTTTATAATAGAGTACTGTGTGTTCATTATATGTAATGATGTTTTATTTACTAATGGACAAAAACTGATTAGTGATTCTAATGATAACAATACTTTCATTTTGTTTCACCACTATTATTTTATTTCGTGTTAGCAAATTAACTTTGATGAAAATTTAATCTATTAACCCTCTTAATCTGATTATAGTTTATGATGAAAATAGTTTCACCTAACGATTATTACTGGCTCTTTTTGTTATTTCCCTTGTTATATCTAAATGCATTTGGTCTACTTTGACTATTTTCAAGTCATATTCACTAATATCTCCGACCATATACCATAGTTATTTTACGAACTGTAACAGGAAAGCCAATTTTGTCCAATATGATTCAGGTTGGTAGTTATTGACTTCATCTATTGCTGTTGTGTCTTCATTTGACTCCCCATGAATTTCCCCTAACTTTATCCTACTCTAATCATTTTAAAGAGTCACTATGTTTTGAAATATCTAAAACATCTTCCGATCATTTAAGTCGGTGAAGGTTTTAACCCCCCAAATGTCCTGCTATGACCGAGAATCAGCTCTCCCACTCGAAATGCTCTCACATGACCAGGCGTAGACAGCAACTGCCAGGGAGATCCTACTCACTACCTTCTCAGGGCATTACTGTTGTTTACGAAATTGAGAGGATGAAGGGCGAATGTCCGACGCTTTAACCGGTTTGGTGGATACGGAGAGTCCACCCTTGGAAGTTGGAAAACCCTTATTCCAAACCAATGGTGAACATGGGCTCTAGGATCCTGAAGTAACAAATGGCGTATGAACCAATCGTTGGTCACCAGCTACCATGGGACTGCATCTCGTGACATTCCTCCACTGCCTTGTGGACCAAACCTTTAGGTCGAAGGTTCCGGGTGTCTCCGTAAGGGAAGCTATTTGCTTCGGTCTGGGCATCTGAACAGTCTCACAGACCACATACAAACCAAGTGACTTGTGTGATTCATATGTATTCGGTGCCCCTTTTTACCAGTGTTTATGTGTTCAAATAGTAATAATAAATAATCTACCTCAAAGTGTACACCTAACCTCAAAATTACTTACCTTTATCATCCCATTATTTATAACCAATGTTTTTAAAATCAAATACTCATAACCTACTTATCTATTCATAAAATATCTTGTTTTACAACAATTTATGAATGATTCATTCAATCAATTTTGGTTTGAACTTAACAGTACCAGGTTTTATTTCCATCATTATCAATGTCATTAATAATGGAATGTTTTTTCTCTGTCCAAACTAATGTTGTACGTAATTAGTTGGCTACATTTTACACAGATGTAGAAAATTTTCCATGTTCACTTCGCTAATTCTTTTTGTCTATATTTTATATTTATGTTGTATCATGAATAAAGAAATTTGGATTTTTGTAAAATGTGTGTGAAACTAAATCTTAGCGACCCAGAATAAATTAGTAAATTAATTAACTCAAGTGCTCTAAATCGATAAATATTTAAATAGTTTGTGGGTCTAGTTACTTATAGTCATATATTTTTGTTGGTTTTGACTACAGCTTGAGATCTCCGTTAAATTGAATTTGTATATCTAGCCAATCAATGTCAATAATCCTCGTTTTCTTTTTTTTGGGGGGGGGAGAGTTGTTGATAATTAAACAGTCAACTAACTGACAGTAATTTTTACAATTTGAATAACTAACAATATTTAGTATTATTCATACTTCTCACTGCGAGTAAAAGAGAATTGATGAGTATCGTTTCTCTTTTATGAACAGATGAATAAAGAGTAGAGAGATGAACATTTTTACCTCACAGTTATATGACTAATTGTCGTAAAGTTAAATGTAAGATTAAGTTCACTGGTTTTTGGTTGCAATAAACCAGCGCCAATTACAGTTCACACGAATAAAGGCAAATGATAAAGGGTCCATATCAATAAGGTTAGCTGTCAAAAAGGCTCATATTAGATAGTTCGTATTCCCTGACAGATCTAGATCAATTGCTTAAAATAACCAAGTTGTAAATATCATATCACTGTGTGAAAAGACATTGCTTAAACTTCTTTACTGCAAAATCCCATACTAATTACTAAATAGGTTAACTAGATTCTTAGCTTCGCTGTTCCAAATAGATGTCTGAGATAAAATGGCGAGTTATTAAGAATAACAAATTGTTACTTAATTCAAAAATATACAGTAGACCCTGCATTGAGTGTTTAAAGAACTACGTTTTCGATCGGTCTCATAGGCAAAGGGACAGATGATAGACCGAACAAATTTTAAACCCATAAAAACGTTGTTCTTTCTTTCGATGCTCACCTTTTCAGTGATCGCCTCTTGATGGTCACTCTTATGAATCCTTACCATCGTTGGTATACGACCTTTTCACTCACCCTCTTGCTCGGGCTCTTATTAATAGATAGCATTAGCTACATCTTTAAATAACCTGAGGATGAAACCATTAGCAATCGTGTATAAGTTAAATTGAATTATAGTAGTTGAATTCATGAGTCGATCGAAGCTAGACCACCATTGAAAACCTGAAAGCACTAGACCACCGTTTCGTTCTAGCATGGGACTCCTCAGCAGTGCACATCCACGAGTCTCTCGTTAGGGACTCTAGCTTAGATCGACTCATGAATTAAACTATTAGAATTACTATAATCTCCACAAATCCCCACTCTGATAAATTGAATTACTCCACCTCTGTTTGCGATATAGTAATATAATGCATTCTGAAAAATGGTTACAAAATGTTAATCAATTTAAATGGGTGGTCGAGTTAATATAAACTGATAGTCAATAATAGTAAATAATCCTACACACCACGAAAAGACATAGTTTCTAGACTGCTTCTAAATTAGCGTTTATTACAATCTTGTTAATAGTGGGAAATATAAAACATCTTAATAAGTAAGGTGAAGTTCATACAAATTCTTTATGACTAATTTTGTATATATTGAATATACATTCTACTGAGGTGAGTCATCCGAAATCAATCCTGCTATCGATTGGGTATCATATAGTTTTACAGAAGTTGTGTAGTTGATAGCCAGATCATAAGATGTTTAGTTACAGTTATGAGATTTATCTCTATTTTAAAGTTTCTCGTTGAAAACAGTTAAACACAGAACATGATAACAGTTGATTTTTGAAAAGTATTATCTAGCACTCCTATAAATAAGTAATTAGATAGGTTTCGATTGCTCAACTTTAGAAAATCACTTCTGAATTAAAATTACCTAGAACTCAAAAAGCTAAGTAAATAAATTATGACTTCTAACCGAGTAATGTATATGTGTGAATCGTAATTCTTCTCTTTTTATCACACTTATTAGCTAGCTGAAGTATTCTCAATGCTAACCCAATCAGTCATCCATTAAATTAATCATATTCTAATAAACTTTTTCGTTCAATTCCCTGAAAATGATTTGGATTACAATTGTGTTTTAGTGCTTTTATCTTGTTTATTTTTTATAATGTTTATATTCTTTCATGTTTTGTAGAGGCGATCGAGTTTCCTCTTCCGTTCGTATATTGAACGAACCACATGGTTCTAGCCCACGATCATCACATATCCGTGGAAATGTATCTCCTCAAAATTCTGCCTTTCGAGTAAGTTATTCTTCGTCCTTTTGTCTTGTATATATTTCTATTATGTTATTCTTCAAAAATAAGATTGTTTATTTACTACTTATGCTCAAACTGAATATCTCGAACTGTTACCAAATAGAGAATCACTGGAACCAGGGAACATTGGATATCAATCCTATACTACTTTGAGAGTTTCTATAGTCCATATCTACGACTATAAGCGACATCTAACTCTGCACTCTTCAAGTATTGCAGTCAGTCAGCTACAACGTAGGATCAGGCACATGTATGCATCAATCAAAGTTGCCGCACCTCATTAGCACAACAAGATGAACACTAAATTCATAGAAGTAGTTATTTCAATAATAGTAATATATAAAAGAAAGATTGCGTATGAGGATATAATGCTAGGAGAAAGAAAGGTATAAAGCAATTTTAATCTTACGGTTTAAGGGAAGACAAAGAGTGTATACACCTACGCCATTGTGATCGATTCTGAGCCATGTCACCCAGAGTCTCCAACCATTGGTTACGATAATCGTACAGACCCCAACCAAGTAGTTTGTATCTGCCAACATGGTTCAAACCAGAAGTTAGTGACTTCAAGCACTGATGTCACGTTTTGGTTTGGTCTCCCCTAACTCCCTTTCAACCCTCCCCAACACTAGTCAGCATAGTGCGTTGTGGTAATCGGTGTCCAGGCATACGTAACACATGGCCTAACCATTCCAGTTAATGCAGATCCACAACTCCATCAACTGATTTACCATCATTCCTTAATACCCTGCGTCCAACCACACTGTTACTTACGCTGTGATCCCATCAGATGCGAGCAATACTTCTAGGGCATCCGTGATCAAATACTAGTAACTTACGAGTATCTTCCTCTCTTAATGGCCTCGTTTCACAGCCGTAAAGTGGAACAGAGCGAACTGCTTTGTAGTATACTCGTCCTTTTATTAATAGACGGATATCTCTCCTTCACCATAGATGAGGTAAGTTGGCAAAAGCTAAAAATGCTTTCTGAATCCGTTCAGAGATTTCGTCACACACCAACCCATTGGGGCTGATCAGACTTCCGAGATAAGTGAAGTTGTCGATGAGTTCGACTACTTCACTCCCTATCCTTAGTTGAGGTGTTGACGCAGGAGAGTCTTGAAGCAACAGTTTGCATTTAGAGGGTGAGAAACGCATTCTGAGGATTTTGACATTGTTGCTTAGTGCTACCAAAAGACTTTGCAGTTTATCAGCGTCTTCACCAAACAGGACTATACCATCTGTGTATTCCAAGTCAATAAGTGGATCTCCTAATAGGAGATCAATTACTGAAAATTCAGTTGACGAGAGCGTTATTTCCAACATTAGGTTTATAATGAAGTTAAACAAAAATGGGAATAGTGGACAGCCCTGTCTGACATCACTTGAGGCTGCGAAATCAGATGACAGTTCGCCATAAGCTCTCAATCTACTAGTAGTGTTCGAGTAAAGAGCTTTATGTACTTCTGCGGTACAACTTTCAATGACAGACACTACAACAGAACCTCTCGGTCTACAGAGTCAAATGCTGCTTTCAAGTCAAGAAAAACTATCATTGTCTGACACCGATAAGCATGCCTGTGTTCTAAAACTTGACTAATAGCGTATATGTGGTCGATACAGCTACGACCAGGTCTGAACCCAGCCTGACTTTCTCGTGTTTGCAGTTCACAAGTTTGAGTTAGGCGCCCGATAATTATTGAGGCAAGTATTTTAGATGCTATATTAGTCAAACTAATCCCTCTATGGTTATCACAGGATGATTTTAGCCCCTTCTTATATATTGGGAAAATCATTGATTGTGATCAGTCCGATGAGATTTACGTCCAACTCCCAGATTTTATCCAGAATATTAGTCAACTTAATCGCTAAAATTGGACCACCATATTTAAAGACCTCTGGAGCCAATCCATCAGGACCAGCTGCTCTTCCTCGTTTCAGATTACTTATAGCCTTTTGAACTTCAGCTAGGGTTGGGGGACCTACTTCAATGTTCCATTCAGACTGTCTGGGAATGGTGGGTAATTATAGAGCAGCTGAACTGCTCCTTAAAGTGTTCCGCCCATCGTTCTAAACGTCTGGGCTGAGAGTAGATGAGAGTCTCATCTTTTTCCGAGATTGTCTCACTTACAAATGACTTCTTAATTCCGGTTTCTTTTATTAGTCTGAAAAGCTGTCCTGTGTTACGTACAGCCACTGCCTTTTCCATCTCTTTTGCTTTCGTTGCCCACCACTGCTCACGATCGTTCCTTAGACTTATGTTGAAACTAGATCTGATTTGTTTTGGCTCTTCGTCGTGTTCAGAGCCTGATGGGATGAGTTTACGCGAATCCATCAGTGAAATAGACTTGAAAGAAATCCATTGGTTCTTTGTAGCCCTTTGGTTTAAATTACTAATAGATGTTACTGCTGTTTCCACAGCTGTTCGTGTGTCTTTCCAAGCAGCATCTGGGTCAGTCTCGTTTACAGAACTGCCTAGATGTGAACTCAGTTGTTTCTGGAATTCGCATTTGGCTTTCTCGTCCTCCAGTTCAATCCTAATGCGTCTTCCTAGTGTAGTTTTTCTGCGTCCAGTAAGGCGCAAGCAAATGCATGCTCGTATTAAAGCATGATCAGAGTTTAAACATGTATTCCAGAACAAGCGACAATCTTCTGTCGAGCCTCTCCAACGATGACTGATGACAATATGATCTATTTGAGTCCATCGTTGGTTTGGTGCAGGAGGTCTTCATGTTAAATGATATCTCTCCCTATTCTTAAAATTATTGCCTGTCACAAATAAACGGTTGTTTGAGCATGGTTGCAGCAGACGGTCACCATTATCTGTTCACTGGGCCGAAATACCAAAATACTTACCTAAATGTCTTCCTGAATGGTTGAAGCTACCTACTTGAGCGTTAAAGTCACCTGCTACGAGTACAATGTCTGAGCGTCTAGCTTTTTAAAGATGTTCAGAAAGCTTTCTGTAAAATTCATCTTTCACTTCATCCAGTGTGCAGTCAATGAGAGCGTAGGAAGATATGACGAAAAGGCAACGTCGTGTGTCTCTATCCTTCCGAGTTCTCACGGAGCCGTTTAGCCGAACAGCACATAGGCGACTGTTAACGGGGATACATTCTAATAGTGCTTGTTCTGCCTCCGTATTTAGTGCTATGCCTACACCAGCCAGTCCACGAAAACTAACCATCGGGACGCCAGATACACAGAGGGTGTATCTCATCGGCTCTCTGTTCGGGTGAAATGAGGTCAAGTGGATGACCACACTAGAATCCTGTACGTGTTGTGAATTTATTTCCGGCTTTTTATTACATGATTTATTCACCAATCGAAATACGAATAATCCAATCTTTGCACTGTACCAAACCAATGACGTTCGACCGGTATGCGCAGCCTAGCGTCCTTATTGGTCCTTTATCCGCCTAGCCATTCCAGTTGAATCCAGAACACCAATAACAGCTTCTACTATACGAATCATTTATTTCAGACATACTGGGTTTATATATCAACTAAACAGACCGCAACGCACCATGCAATAGGAAATAACATTTCTACACAATAAAGCCAAAAAGTGGCTATGAACGTGGGAGACAATAATCGATAAACTGAATATAATTTAGGAACAGTAAATCGTATAATAATAATCTGTAGGTCAAAATGAAGCTTATAATAAGATGAATATAGATACATACAATCTAATTATTGAATAGTTATACAATAAGAATATATATAGAATAATCTATTAATAGATCCAGGAAGTTACCCGTACTTATGTTTTCACTAGGATATAACAGTATGCGTACACCGATGCATACATCAATGGTATGAGATTCTAGGGTTTTAGCCAAGAAGAAGGCCTGCTGGTCGATTTGACACAGGGTGTGTACGTTGAAGGCTCTTATGTGTAGTTTGGAGCGAGGTTTCACTAGACCTGGGACAGTGTTTTGCGCACTAGAATCGTTGGTCATGGTGACACTTATGGAGGAAGCCAAAAAAGGAAATTTAGAGTTGAAAGTCGCTGTAGGAGGAATAATAGGAATTGGAGAGGGAGATTGATTATGAATACAGTGATCTTGAGTTCTGTTAGAGGTATGAGGGCGATTATCAGTTCCGGGTTGCCCACATCTTGGAATGGCTCTTCTAGAGGTAACTGAAAAAGATATTGGGTTAGAGGTGGCCTTAGTGACGTAAGAGAGTGACCGTAGTGCCCAAGGGACGACTACTTAAGACTGGTCACACACGACCTTTTTGTGAGTAATTTTCGTGTTAGCTCCGTACTTGTTGAGTTCTTACCGCCGAAGACGGAAATCCGTAGGATAAAGTGAGGTGTGCATTTTTAAGGTCGACCCTTTCTAACCCCACCCCTCATTGTGGGAAGGCAGCATTGTTATGCTGGTTGTCCGAAGGAAACATCTTACTGCCGTCACGCTTCTGTACAGTCAGTCGTACGACTTTGCCCTCATGCCGCGGGTTTACTGCTTTTAGTCTTACCGCTTTTCAACCGACCTGTCTGGCATGGTAGGACCTTGAGGAATAATTGTTCCAGTCAGTATAGCTCGATTGGTTCATTACAATAGGCAAGCACGACCACCACTTCAAGGTAGCAGCAACGGTTGAGTGTCCATAGTTGCTCCTAATATCGTATTTCATTTACACAAGTGTATGAGATTAATCAATATCAGTTTAATATTATCTAGATATTTAGTAATAGATCACAGAGATCGGTTTACTGTATGCTGTGAATAAATACTCAACTATTTCTACCTAATAACCCTCCTAAACTAGCTATTTGCAATCCACGCGATGACCACAATCATTGGTTGAAAACGTAAGATGATGTGGATCGAGTATATTCATTGTTTATTTTCCCATAGATCTTGATTTTTAACATTCATACACATATCTTTTCACTCTGTCTTTATATTATCGTACTCCCAATTTTCAATCTTTCTTGCAATAATTCCTACAACATTTTTTCGATTCCTTTGTTATTAACCTTTTTAATTTCTTGTCGTTGTGCTATTGTGATGTGGCGATTTGAGCCAAAATATTTTTCTTAGTTTCTGCATTGATTATGAATGAATGACTGGAGCTAACAATCCATTTTATTAGGAATCGAAGTAAGGTAGTAAAATCTTATGGATTTATAGTCGGTTGTCTAATAGTGTTAAGATGTTATCTTACTTACTTACTTTCGCCTGTTACTCCCAATGGAGCATAGGCTGCCGACCAGTATTCTCCAACCCACTCTGTCCTGGGCCTTCTTTTCTAGTTCTATCCAGTTCTTGTTCATTCTTCTCATGTCTGTCTCTATTTCTCGGCGTAATGTGTTCTTTGGTCTTCCTCTTCTCCTTTGACCTTCAGGATTCCATGTGAGTGCTTGTCTTTTGACGCAATTGGGTGATTTCCTCAAAGTGTGCCCTATCCACTTCCAGCGCTTCCTCCTGATTTCTTCCTCCGCTGGAATCTGATTTGTTGTCTCCCACAGTGACTTGTTGCTGATAGTGTCTGGCCATCTGATCCGAAGTATCTTGCGTAGACAACTGTTAATAAACACTTGTATGTTCTGGATAATGGTTTTCGTAGTTATCCACGTCTCCGCCCCATACAATAGAACTGTCTTGACATTTGTATTGAAAATTCTAACCTTGGTGTTGGTTGACAATTGTTTTGAGCTCCAGATGTTTTTCAGTTGTAAGTATGCTGCTCTTGCTTTGCCGATCCGCGCCCTCATATCTACATCTGATCCACCGTGTTCATCAATGATGCTGCCCAGATACGTAAAGGTTTCCACATCCTCCAAAGCTTCTCCGTTAAGTGTAATTTGATTGGTGCATATTGTGTTGTATCGGAGAGTCTTGCTTTTCCCTTTGTTTATATTGAGACCTACTGCTACTGAGGCTGCTGCTACACTGGTCGTTTTCTCCTGCATTTGTTGTTGCGTTTGTGATGGAAGAGCCAGATCATCCGCGAAGTCTAAATCGTCAAGCTGCATCCTGCCTGTCCACTGTATCCCGTGATTTCCTCCAGATGTTGACGTCTTCATGATCCAGTCGATGACCAGGAGAAAGAGAAAGGGTGAGAGTAAGTAACCTTGCCTAACACGCGTCTTTACCTCGAAAGAGTCGGTGATTCATCCTTCATGAACGATTTGGCAGTTTAGTCCATCATAGGAGTTCCGTATGATATTGACTATTTTCTCAGGCACGCCGTAGTGTCGAAGAAGCCTCCATAGTGTCGTCCTGTCCACACTATCAAATGCCTTCTCCTAGTCGATGAAGTTGATGTAGAGTCATGAATTCCATTCGATTGATTGTTCCACAATGATACGTAGAGTTGCGATTTGATCTGTGCACGATCTATCCTTACGAAATCCACCCTGTTGATCTCGAAGTTGGGCGTCCACGGAATACTTCATCCTATTCAACAATACTCTGTTGAAAACTTTTCCTGGTATTGGGAGAAGAGTGATACCCTTGTAGTTATCTCAATTGCTGAGGTCGCCTTTCTTTGATATCTTGATCAGAAGTCCTTCTTCCCAGTCTGTTGGTACTTGTTCTTCATCCCAAATTTTACTGAAGAGAATGTGGAGTATCTTTGCAGTTGCTACTACACTTGCTTTCAGTGCCTCTGTCGGTATGTTGTCTGGTCCCACTGCTTTGCCGCTCTTGATTTGTCTGATGGCTCTGCTCATCTCTTCAATTGTTGGTGGGCCAACATCGATTGAGAGGTCCGTGTGTGTTATTTCGATGTTGGGTGGGTTTAGTGAAGCCGGTCCATTCAAGAGTTCTTTGAATTATTCTACCCACCTGTTCCGTTGTTCTTTAATGTTGGTCATTACCTTACATTCCTTGCTTTTCACCGGTCGTTCTGGTTTACGGTAATTTCCAGCAAGTTTCTTTGTTGTATCATACAGTTGTCTCATGTTTCCCTCTCTTGCAGCCTTTTCCGCTGTCATTGCTAAATCTTCCACATATTTACGTTTGTCTGTTCTGATGCTCCTCTTCACTTGCTTGTTTGCCTCTGTGTATTCGGCTTGTGCCTTGGCTTTTTCCGCTCTTGTTCGGCTGATATTGATTGCTGCCATCTTGTTCCTTCTTTCTTCAATTTTATCCAGTGTACCAACAGTGATCCATTCCTTGTGATGGTGCTTCTTTTGGCCCAGAACCTCCTGACATGTTGAAACGATTGCCTTCTTGATACCTTTCCGGTTGCTTTCCATGGTAGTTCCCTCTCCATTGAGTAGATCATGAAAGGCCTGGAACCTGTTTCTGAGGGCTATGTTGAATTTGTCAGCATCTCGAAGAAAGGCCTTATTAAACTTTTGTGATGTTGTCCGCACCGTTGTCAAGTGCTTCTTGAGTTTTAGTTTCATCTTGGCGACCAGCAAATGATGATCGGATGCTATATCAGCTCTTCCTCTGGTTCTCACATCCTCCATCGTCCTCCTGAACGTTTTGTTGATGCAGATATGGTCGATTTGATTCTGCGTAGTGTGATCCGGTGAAATCCAAGTGGCTTTGTGTATGTTTTTGTGTGGAAATATGGTGCCACCTATGACCAGTTTATTGAAGGCACATAGGTTTGCAAATCTCTCACCATTTTCGTTCCTTCCTCCCTGTCCATATTGTCCCATGACGTCTTCGTATCCAGTGTTGTTCTTTCCAACCTTGGCATTGAGATCTCCCATCAGAATTGTCAGGTCCTTGGTTGGGCACTTCTCGAAGATCGACTGCAGTCTATCGTAGAATTGGTCTTTAGCGTCTTCATCGTAGTCGTTGGTCGGCGCATAGCATTGGATGACGTCCATTGTAATGCCCTCTCTCTTTGTTTTGAAGGAGGTTTTGATGATCCTTGGTCCATGAGATTCTCATCCTATAAGTGCATTTTGTGCTTTTCTGGACAGCATCAATGCAACTACTTGTGTATGTGGGGCATTTTCTTCTTCATGACCGGAGTATAACAGAAGTTCTCCTGAAGACAGTCGTTGTTGTCCAACCTGCGTCCAATGCGTTTCACTGATTCCAAGCACCTCCAGGTTGTATTTTCTCATTTCTGCAGCAATTTGGAAGACTCTTCCGGTCTCCCACATTGTCCGGACATTCCATGTACCTATAAAAATTGTTGCTCTGGTTGTAAGAAGGTGCATCGGTCTCATGACTTCCGAAGGAACTCGGCTTTCATCATGAGACGTCATAATTATTCCTTCTACTCCCAGGGCAGAGTTTAGATGGTTTGAATGATTTTTTCTGGTTAGCGTTTTTTTAGCGAGTTGATTTTCTACGGGATGGGGTCGCTAACCCCATGCCCAACCCTCCTCCTTTACCCTGGCTTGGGACCGCCAGTAACCCCCAGAGGAGCTACAGGCGGAGTTAAAATGTTATCTGATGAAAGATATTTGTTGCGACATTCAACATCCCGACTTCATCACCTTGCTTCAACAGGGGTTAATCATTTGTGGACTACTGTTCATAAGTCTACCACATGCTTTGGACCATCGACGCATAAATTACTTTTACGATTTTAACTAAAGAATGTGTTCTGTGTTTAATCAAATTAGTACATTTCTATTCAGTGCTTGCAAGGCATAGATTTTATAACTTGATTATATTGGACTAGTCATTGTAATAAATTATTTACTTGACATAAAAACACTAACATTTTCCAATATCTTTTTCTATTTATTAGGATGAATTGAACTCAAAACTTCGAATTCGCCCTGGTCATAATCTTCAACCTAGAATAACAACAATTGCTAAATCTGCTGAAAGTCCCGATAGTTTAATTTTACATGAATCCTCGTCACCAAATCAAAAACATTTAAGTAGTCCATACTCATCTCCTTATAGTACTCGTGTATTTGCAACAACCCCACCTAATAGTACACATGAGTCTATCAGTTCAACTCCATCATCCTCTGGTGCCTCAGAGTTTGTCAGTTTACAGCATAAATTAGCTGTCAGTAGACCTCGAAATCGTCGTCCACCATCAAAAACTTGTGGTCATGCATTGAATAAAACGGATGAAGATTTTGTTGGCTTCTTTTCCCCATCACCCAAACGTGTATCGGTTAATAATAATTTCTTTCCAGTCTCCAATCCTCATTTGGGTCTTATAAAAGAAGAAAGTGAAATAATACATCGAATAAGTGAACAACCTCATCAAGAAATATCTGCCACTCATCTACCCACTGAAATATTAACTGTAAGTACTGGTGAATCGATTAGTGAGAATTCCAATTCAAATAAACTTGATTCTCCACTTTCAAGACTAAATTTAAGAGGCAGGTTAGTATATGAAATATTTTTTCTTTTTCAGTGTTATACGTTGTTTATATTAAAGTACATTTAGTTTACACAAACAACTTGTACTTTGATGTATTGTATAATAGTGATACCTTATTGATTAAGTCACTTGTCTTTCAATTAATAGGTTGCAAGTTTTGAACTTTGCTCCACCCTACATTGATCTGGATAACGAAAGAGTATCACTAGCGTATAGGAACGTAGTATGGCTTAAAACTACGTAAATTTTTGTTTGGCTAATGGAATTATTTTTACATTACATTCACTTTTTCTGTGAAAAGTATACAATCAATAATATTTCTGTTGTGTTGTGTATTATTTGGTTAGTCAGGTAAGAAGATTTAGGAGGAAGTTTACTGACCGAATCGGTAATATACGTACCTCATATATATATGCCCCTTAAAAAATTAAGCCACTAATGGTGTATGTCTCATACCTTAGAAATACGAGTCATTTCTTGGCCAATCATGTGCCCGATCTCTGATTAGCACAATATATTAATTTTCCCTCCCAAAAGAAGATAGGTTTGACATCTCAGATTCAGCTGTCGGAATCGAGATGGGGACATATCAGTTTCGCCTATCCTATCGCTATCATATTTGTGACTGTTTAAGTTGTTCACTTATGTAATCTTATGTTGTTATTACTTTTGACCCGAAATCTACATGGTGCATTTATAAATTGATTTTTGGATGATTAACTCTGTTATATTTTGTTAGTGAGTGCTTATCACATTCCATCGTCCAATGAATTCATCGTAGTTGAAGTACAAAGTCTTAGGACTAATTATGATGCATTTTGTTGGTAGTGTTTGAATTCATTTTCACGAAAATATTATTTTTATGACTTTATTACGTAAATTTGAGTCTCTAAAAACTATCCATGTAAAAGGCAAATCTTTAATAATCACAGTTACAATAGCATACTTCACCATTAGAAAATTTTGTATATAGTAGCTCCAGTAATATTCCATAGCTTATTTACTAAGTACATATTTATGGAATGTTTATAAAATAGTGATTTGCTTAGTAAAGTAGGATTGTTTATTAACTAAAACTTTTTTAAAGATTAAATGATGTATATATATATATTCTGTGTATTAGATGCAAGCTCAAAGATTGTTATTATGTTACGAAAGCATTAATAAGATCCATATCTATGAAAGTACTTCAGAGAGTTTGATCAAAACCCGACATCTGCGATGGACAATTATGAATTTATTAATGTTTTAGAAATGACCTTTTATCATAGCCGTTTGTTTGTGGTATAGAGTGTATATACCTCATGTAATTTCACAATATAAAATAATTCATAAAATCAACTTTCTTGCAACTCATTAGAACTGGAAAATAATCTCAAGTACTGTCATAAGTATTAGGTCAGTTGTTACTTCTCGATTCACTACGCTCCGGGAGGATACTTCTTCTTGAGGTACATAAAAAAGAATATTGGTTATTGGTGGTGATTTTGATCTTAGAGAGTAACCTCAGTCTTTAAGGGAACACGTGGGCTTTTCGTGAGCAGTTTTTAACTGCCCGTCATATCTTATTACAATCTTCAGTGTGACTTCGTCCTTTGACGTTAAGTTTCTGCTTTTAGTCTTACCATTCTCCAACTGATCTAATTGGTGTGGCAGGTTTTAAAAGAACGAGTGTTTCACGCAATATAGCTCAATGACATCACATCACTACATCAATGTAACAGCTACTACCGAAACTTAAAATATCCGGGATTCGTTTTCTAATGCCTATTAATGAATCCACTGATTTTAGGAGTTTTATCTGTCAATATAGTTTTATTTAAAATCATTCGACTGTTTTAGTTGAATAGAATTAAGAGTTTAGACCTAATCAATCTATGAGTCTGTTTCAAGTATTTGTTACTTTTATTTGTATAAAACAAATAAGCTAATGCTCATTTTACTCCGTTTTAAACTATTGATTTCATCCTGTAGTATATTTCGTAATAAATCCACACTGACTGACCTCAAATGCTTTGTTCATAGTAAACACATAAGGTTATATGGAAACACATAATTAACTTTTCTACACATAAGTATCAAATACCATGTCATTCTCTGTATAAATTTACAACAACAAAAAATCTACTCAACTATTGAATAGTTAGTTATTTATTCGTAATTTTACTCTATCAACTAGATACTCACATTCCTTATGTATCCACGAATTTTCTTTCTCGTTGTGCGTAAATAAAGACAAATATTAATTTATTGAAATGTATTTTACAGTTAAATAAAGTGTTTAATACTGATTTACAGCTGAATATTATTGTATTTTATGGTTTAACTCCTTGTAGGCTGACTCGTTAGCCATTCATGTTTGCATATATTGTGAGCAAGCAGGTCATATATATATATATATATATATATATATATATATATATATATATATAAAAGCCATATCACGATAATTACACGGATCCCAACTAGGTAGTGTACATCATCTACACCTCATTTCAACAGTCAATGACTTTATAGACTAATTCATGTCTTGATTTTGTCTCCCTTAGCTTTCTTTTAGCCCAGTCATAAACGAACTATCATCTAGTTAGTCAAAATCAGCCACAAAAATAAAATTATATTCACTTTTCATATCACTATTCTGTAAATACTCTTTTTGTAGCCTAATTACTATAACACCTACAATTTCGTTTATTCTCTTATTGTTCTTTGTTGATTTTCTCTCTTTTCGTCCAATCAAAAAAAGTACAGCAATTTAGATTAGTACATTTTATACAAAATTCTGTATTATTTTATCTGTTTTTATTATAGTATTTGTTCTTAGTTTATTATTAACCATTGCTAGTAATTAAAGTATACATCCTTTTGTCAAAAGGTAATATTTTTCAATTTCATGTACTTCATGTACTTTCCCGTCTCTATACACTAAGTAATGAAGTTAAGCTTGAGGATTGTAGATTCTGTTACCTACTAGTAATTAATTATAAAGTGTGTAAATAGTATTGCTTTGAAAAAGCATATAAGTTTACACAATCTCACCTTTTTTTACGATACATACCGTTTTGTATCGTTTTTACCTAGAGTTTATTCTTTTGCTTTATTTCTTAATAATTTCAGCGTAAAACCTGCGTTTGACTGGAATTCTCTGGAACGTAAATCTGATTCCTATCGTAAATCCGACTGTTTACTCACATCATTTGATCAAGAAACAATAACACCTTTCAAACCCCCAAGCAAAAATACAGGATTTGAGAGAATAAAAATAAATTCTACCAGTGATTTTCATAATTTAACACCGCTTGCGTCATACAATGGCGGTGATCAACATATTCGTCCACGTTCCATGTTCATCCCATCATCCGGTAATGAAATTCAGTCATCACAGATTTGTTTAAAAACGAAAGATGTAAATAATAACTTGACAACCGATCATCATGATACCAATCTGAATAATGCAAAACGATCTTCTGAATCAATTCCATCACTTGTTTTTGTCCCATGTAAAGCGTCTGTGGATAATAACAGTGATGATACTACTAATACCAATAATCATGATAGTAATGTTGGTAATAATAATCTCAAAGTTAGTAATCAAACTACTCATGTTCATACTGAGACAAAAACACATATCTCTGTATCTATGATGAAGAAACCTGTTTTGACTGGTGTTGAAGAAAATTCAAATAAATGTTCTCAAAGTCCTAGTCCTCAGACAGTGGTCTTACGTCGAAAAATTGATGAAACTTCTCGTGTATGTCAACATTTTTTTTAAAGATTACTATTTATGATTAATAAAAATGCTTCCTTTTAATTGTAGTCAATATGTATAATAAATGTATATATTTTCATTTTTGGAACAGTATTGTTCCAGTTTAAACTTTCTCTTAAAATAACTCAGTAAACCGTAATCAGTAGAGTTCACCTATATCGGGTGTGTGGGACAGATACCCACCAATAACACATGGTTTTTGCAATTTCGCAAATTGACTGGTTAAACCATTAGATGTATTGACTCAGTAATTTAAAAGGTTAAGCTCTTTCTGCGATACCTAAACGTCATTTGTTCAGTCTCTTTAGTGAAGTTACGGATTCGCACTACTAAGGAGTACCATACTAGGACGGATCAGTTGTCCAGTATTTCCTTATTTTCAATGGTTGTCTAACTAGGAACAATCCGTGACGCTAATGATACAATTCAACAATAATATTCCAGTAACGTTTTATTATTTTTTGCCAAATTGAAATTGTAAAATGGTGTTCATCCATTCATTGTACAGAATGTTTAATGATCAACAAAAAAGAATTGAGAAGGTTTAACTTTTTCAATGGTCTCATTCAGTGATCTTCACAATTCTGTCTCCATAGTAATCATATCGTCTTATTCGACTTAATAGGGATTACATGAAATTCAGTCGAATAGTGTTCATCTCAACAAATAAATCGCATTATTCTGTTTAATCAAATGCAATAAATAAAGGTTTGTTCATCAGTTAATGTTGTAGTTATAAACTAAGAATTTTATTTCATTGAATTATACCCTCAGTCTTACAACCATCAGTTTGTCGATTATCTGGGGACTATCAGATAAATCTTAATAACTATAATGTTTATTGATCAGTTCAATTGTATCTTCTCAAGTTATCTTATTGTTAAGACGTATCTTAATTTTAAATTAATTAAATCACTGAAATAGTTTGTTAATCACATGAAAATACCTCAGATAATTTAATAGCAGATGACATTACATAAAGTGTATTATTTTATCGATTAGTTTCTCTAATAGTTGATGTTAATTGTTTAATGGATAAAAATTTTAACAGAACTATGGCACAACCATTGGTGAAATACTCAATAAATAATTCATGTAGACTCTAGATCCTTTCTAGTATCAATAAACAGAGGGAATATTATACGAAATTAAAGGAAAAGTATATTGACAGTAATATAACTTTTATTCATTGTCAGTAAAAGAGAAAATGATTGCAAGTCAATGAATGTACTTTCATCAACTGGATATTTCGTTTAAAACTGTTGGTCGTTCTCTGACGAATATATATATATATATATATATATATCGGTAGTTGAAGTAAATATTTTTATAGTGATTATGGAATCGATCAGTGATGAGGATGAATAAAATACCGCTTAACTATTGAAAACTCCGCCTGTAGCTCTTCTAGAGTTACTGCCGGTCCCGGACCGATGCACCTTCTAACAACCAGAGCAACACTCTTTATAGGTACATGGAATGTCCGGACAATGTGGGAGACAGGAAAGACCAGCCAAATAGCAATGGAAATGAGGAGATACAACTTGGCAGTACTCAGAATCAGCGAAACCCATTGGACACAAACTGGACAACAAAGGCTAGGTACAGGAGAGATGCTGCTGTACTCCGGTCACGAAGGGGAAAATGCTCCACACACTCAGGGAGTTGCTCTAATACTGTCCAAAGAAGCACGAAATGCACTTGTGGGATGGGAATCTCATGGACCCAGGATAATCAAAGCATCATTCAGAACAATGAAGCAAGGGATCAAAATGAACATTATCCAATGTTATGCACCCACTAATGATAGCAACGACGATGATAAAGATCAGTTCTATGGAAGGCTGCAATCAATTATAGCAAAGTGCTCACGAAAGGACCTCACAATCCTGATGGGAGATCTAAATGCTAAAGTTGAGGTAGACAACACAGGATATGAAGATATAATTGGACGACATGGATTAGGAGAGAGAAATGAAAATGAGGAGAGACTTGCAAACCTATGTGCATTCAACAAATTGGTTATAGGCGGCACAATATTCCCACACAAACGTATACACAAAGCTACATGGATCTCACCGGACCACACCACAGAGAACCAGATTGATCACATCTGTATCAACAAAAAATTCCGAAGATCAATGGAAGATGTGAGAACCCGGAGAGGAGCTGACATAGCTTCAGATCACCACCTGGTTGTGGCGAAGATGAGACTGAAGCTAAAGAAAGACTGGACAACTGGACAAACAGCACTACAAAGGTTCAATACAGCCTTCCTTCGAGATACTGACAAGCTCCATGAATTCAAGATAACTCTCAACAACAGGTTCCAAGCTCTACAGGATCCACTGAAAGAACAAGAAACTACTTTGGAGGACAACTGGAAAGGGATAAAAGAAGCACTAACTTCAACGTGTCAGGAGGTTCTTGGTCCTAAGAAGCATCATCACAAGGAATGGATCTCTATGGGAACCATGGACAAAATTCAAGAAAGGAAGAACAAGAAACTAGCAATTAACAACAGCCAAACACGAGCAGAGAAAGTCAAAGCACAAGCAGACTACGCAGAAGCAAACAGGGAAGTGAAGAAAAGCATTAAAGCCGACAAGCAGAAATACATGGAGAACTAGCAACGGCGGCGGAAAAAGCTGCAAGAGAAGGGAATATGAAACAACTATATGATACAACGAAGAAATTGGCAGGGAGACATAGCAAACCAGAGAGACCAGTCAAAGACAAAGAAGGAAAGACAATCACTGAGATTCAAGAACAGAGGAAAAGATGGGCAGAATACTTCGAGGAACTGCTGAATAGACCAGCCCCATTGAATCCACCGAACATCGAAGCAGCCCACACAGACCTTCCAATAGATGTCACTCCACCAAAGATCGAAGAAGTCAAGATGGCCATCAGACAAATCAAAAGTGGGAAGTCGGCAGGACCTGACAATATACCAGCTGAAGCACTGAAGTCAGACATTGAAATAACTGCAAACATGCTTCACCTTCTATTCAAGAAGATTTGGGAAGAGGAACAAGTGCCAATGAACTGGAAAGAAGGATATCTCATCAAGATACCAAAGAAAGGAGATCTGAGCCAATGTGATCTTACGGGATCTTACCGGCCACCCCCGGGACCCCCATCTGGTTTACCGAGCTACCGAAGCCATGCACTGAACCAGCAGTTTGCACCACCAATTTTCTAGCCCTTGCCGTCTTTACCGGATGCCCGGGTCTCTCAAAGGCCCACATTAAGCCGAAGGAGCAGTTTCAGCTACGGGAGGTTCCGTTTGAACGCACATGTTACCCTGTGAAAGACTTCACGTGTCCAGGTCGGCATTTCTGCCAATCAAGACTGGGCCTCCCCACCACACTAGCCCTTACGAACCAATGCAAGATGGGTAGAAGTCATGTGTGGCCGTAACATATTGCTATGTTATTTACGTTCGCGGCGTACAACAGCCCAACTTGAGACCCGAGGGTCCCGATGACCATCCTTAGACAGCCACCCAGCAACCTAGACGTCTCAGAAGACCAACCATCACTCCAGAGTATCTAATAAGTGCGCCCGTCCCCTTGCGGTTCAGGTACTCAAGGCATGTATTAGCTCTAGAATCGATAATCAGTCCCCTAAAGCGCTGTTGGTTACCAATACGGACACGAGCCAGCGTCATCCCAACCTTGAGGGCACGAGTACCCTTTCCAGTCAAGACAGCACCGAAGCTAACCGTCAGATCCAAGTTTCAGAGACCCAGCATTTCCACGGTAATGGGCCATGGCACCAGGTAATACCCAGTTTACCACGATAGCCAGATCATAAGCAACAGGTTTGACTCCACGAGACCAGGTCGATAGTTCAGCAACCTGGACTGGGCTTCCCCACCACACTAGCCCTTGCGAACCAATGCAAGATGGGTAGAAGTCAGATGTGGCCGTAGCATATTACCCTGCTATTAATCGTACGCGGCGCACACCAGCCCAACTGGAGACACGAAGGCCTCGACGACATTTTAGCCGCAGCATCTTTCGACACCACGTTACTGGCGGGAACCACGAAGAGGTAGTCGTCACGCAACCATAACCCTCCAAAGAAACCATCCAATCAGACCTAAAGGCGTTCAGTCTAATCAGATGCCCCGCCATCCAAAGAATTAGATGACGAGGCATTTGGCTAATAACATTTATTTTTAAGTATCAAATTGTACAGACCCAAATGGGTTTGGCACAAAATTACATACTTAAGATTTGTAAAAGAGAGATATTCGGTTAGACTGAATTGTAAGTTTATAACTAAGGGGAAATAGAGAGAGTTTAATAAGTGGATATAATTGAGATGTTTGATTGATATTTTATTGGTGTGCTGAAAGGAGTAGCCATAATATTAATTGTAGAAGTAATAATAGTAATAATAATAATAATAATGTTAATAATAATGATAATAATAATAGTAGTTGTAATGGTGGTAATAGGAATAGTCATTATAAACATCAGATTCCGCCATGAACACATGAAGGCAACCCAAACCAAGAGGACCAACTAAGGTAGATAAAGTAATTGTCGTTAGACATGGCAAGTAAACAAAGACATAATATGATAACTATTGGAAGTAAGCGGGGAGAGCAAGCAATCTGGAAAGAGAGAAAGGGAAAGAAAAAGAATAACGAAAAAAAAGGAAAAGGGAGAGAGAGACGATCAGACATCAACCCAGACGAGAGCAGCCAATTAACACAAAAACATGGAGATAAGCAACAACAGTGGAGGAATGTCTAAGAGTGAGGGGGGCTATTCGTTCAGCCGTTGGGTTCCTCTCATATAGGTATTATATATTTTAATTGAGCCTTGAATCGCACTCAGGCAAAGGTCACCGAGGTCACGGGATGAAAAACATAGGCGTCGTAGGGATTGTGAACTTGCTCTCTCCAGAATACCTCTGAATGTAAGGACGACTGGTGTTTGTCGAACACTGGTAATGATATATCCACT